CTGGGTGATGGAGTGTTTGGTAGTGCATGACCTGACTCCCTTTCTTTGAGCAATAGGAATGTCAAGGTCATCCACATTAGGAGCAGGGGTGTCAATAGGTAGAGCAGGGTTTGGTCTTACCTCTTGGGAGTTTGACGGTGTCGGATGCTCAATGTTTGGTAGTTCCACATCTCTGTCACATTGTTGATCTTGACGACATATACATTGGAAGGCACGAAAGGGGGCCAGGTCCGGAATAGAAGGAAGAGAGACTTGGCGGACTTGAACCTGCTTCTCCTCTTCCACACTACTTTCGCCCTGAGGAGAAGTAGGGAAGAACGGTTCAGACTCAAAGAAGGACACATCCATAGAGACAAAAAAATTATGACTAACGGGATCAAAGCATCGATACCCCTTTTGAGAGGAGGGATACCCCAAAAAGATACAAGGAATGGACCGAAGGTCTAACTTTCCCCGAGATGGAGACAAATCATGGACAAAAGCACGACAACCAAAGACTCTCATGGGAATGGAAAATAGAGGGGACTGAGGGAACAACAACTGATGATGGGCCATGTAGTTCAGCACTCTGGAGGGCATGCGGTTGATGACATAAGCGGCTGCAAGTATAGCATCCATCCAAAACCTTTTTGGAACATTCATTTGTAACATCATCCCTCGAGCTACCTCAAGAAGGTGTATGTTTTTTTTCTTTCGGCAACACCATTTTGTTGCGGTGTTCTTGCGCATGAGCTCCTATGAATAGATCCATGGGAGGCAATGAACTCATTAATCTCACCATGGAAGTTTTCCTTGGCATTATCTGATTGAAAGATCTGTATTTCAACATGGAATTGCGTAAACACCATCCGCTAGAAGTCTTGCACGATCTTTGGAACTTCATCTCTGCTACTTATTGGGAATACCCATGTATAGCGAGAGAAATCATCGATGAAGGTGATAAAGTACTTATACCCGCCCTTAGAGATTATAGTAGTAGGCCCCCATACATCAGAATACACAATATGAAAAGGAAAACTGGATCTTTTATTAATTGAATGAAAGGTTGTTCTACATTATTTGCTCAACTGACATGTTTGACACTGGAAATCGGACACTGAACATGACTTAAATGAAAATGGAAACAAAGACTTCACTATTTCAAAAGAAGCATGACCTAACCGACTATGCCACAAAAAAAATTGACTTTTATCTGACTGACTATATGACTCCGAGGACGACACTGAGAGACCAGCTTTGTTGTCGAGAATATAGAGACCATCCACTAGGCTTCCTCTACCAATCGTCCTCCCAGAAGTTAGATCCTGAAAAACACATGAACCAGGAAAAAAGGTTACACTATAGTTTAAAGAGTTTGTGATACTACTGATTAAAGAAAATTTATAGGAAGTTGGGGAACATGCAACACACTATTTAGGCTAAGGCCATGGGGAAGGGATATTGATCCTTGGCCTGCAATGGAGGAGAATGATCCATCTGCAAGCCTCACTTTATCCCTTCCTGACAAAAGGCTATAAGTTTGAAATAAATTTGGCTTACTGATCATGTGGTTAGAGACCCCTGAGTCAATGATCAAAGGGGAACCAGTAGTAGTGATGACATGGAATGCAGAAGCCGCATTACCTAAAGTAGGAGTACCAGTAACTGAACTATCCATCTGTTGCAAAGCCCTACCATATGACTCCAAGTGATCTCTGAAGGAATTCATGATATCTTCCTTGGGGTCAGAACTAGTAAAGTGGTCCCAGGTAGTACCAACAACTTGAGTATCTTGGGTTGCCACATGTGCTGCATTATGTGTTGTATTTGTCTTCTTCTGACCTTGCACTTTACCTTGTTCTTGGTTCTTCACTGCCCACTTGGGCTTCCCGTGAATTTCCCAACATGTGTCAYGTGTATGTCSCGAGCRYYGACARTGGGTACAAAACAACTTGTCTTTATCATCAGCCTTCTTGGAGTCACTTTTCTTCCCCATATTGTTATTACCCATTGCAACCAAAGCTACCTGTTGCTCCCCCTCAGTTGTAACCATCACACTCCGCCTACTTTCTTCAGATTGAACAAGGGCATATAC